TGTTATGATTGCAACAGTAATTAAAGAATATAATATGCTAACGCTTTGTGTCAGCTCCCTGGCACCTTCAGACCTCAGCACTGCACATGTAGAGGTCACCTCGAGGACAAACCCACACTGGCCAAACTGTGCCGAATGTGCCCCCCTCCTTCCTTCACTTCATTGCCTTCTAGGCTGGGAAATGCGGTAAAACCTTGTCTGCATGTTGCTAAAACCTCGTAAGCCAGGAAAAATATTGGTGGTGTCTCCTTACCTTCCAGGAAACAGTCCATGGATTTGAAGCCCAGAAAAGACATCGTTCTTCTAGGCTTATCTTCGGCATTATCTGAGGATAAATTGCCACCGAATCCAATGACGTGTTTAGCAAAAGCGCCTCCTCCAAATAAGACTTCAAGAGATGGAGAATCCACGACTTAACCCCAACAGATGGTGCAATGAGGTTTCCCATGACTCTGGTTTCATTACGCGTCCTACAAATACCATAGTTACAAGCACGGTCAGCAGTCGGACAAAAGTACAACCGGTTAAATGACATGCGCGTGTGTGGTGCCCTCTTCCTCCACAGCCAAGCAACTGGTGGAGGCGCCGATTCATACTGGGAATGGGGGTCAGCGGCCTGGTGCCTGCTGGACCTCACTGGGACGGAGGGCAGCAATCATGCCAAGAGGCTGAAATATCAGCAAGCCAGCGTTGCCTTAAATCCCACCACCCAAGCTGTGCCCCTTGGCACAGCAAAGGGCACTAAGTGCTTAGCTTTCAGGGCTTTTTGGCTCTATAAGGCCATGGGCATCATAGCGCAATGGCTACAGCGATAGAGCGGGGGGGTCTTCTCCTCGACTTGTGGTGCCTGGACTAAGTCACGCCACCCCCCTGACCTGCAGAGATCACTAATGCACCTTATTTCCAAGCTGTAGCTGGCCCCTGCTATGCCAGTCACCCTCCCAGCACTGCCAGTGCACTGCAGTCTTGGTCTGCTGCCCTCCTGCTAGTCCAGCCCCAAATCTAGACACTATTGAAATGAATCTTGATTTTGGATTTTGCATTGCCAGGCAAGTGCTGCTGCCATGCAAAGTCCCCACTGGACTTCCTGAATCGTCTGGCCTGTCCCCACTGCTCTGTGAGATGTCCATGTCTGGGTCTTTTCCCTTCTCTCTTCCTTTCCTCTCTGAAATGACTATGGTGGGGATGCTGTGCTTTGCCCACCAGAAGTGCTCAGCCTCTGAACTCCATCCACAGCCAACCCTCGCTGGAATGAGCATGGGGGCTATTTAACCCTGAACTTTGTGAGCTGTGCTGCTCTAAGGAAATGCAGAGCTCCTACAGACCCATGCATGGAGATAGGATGTATGTATGCTCAAAGCATAGAGGTGATGGGCTCACAGCCACCCACTTCATGGCAGAGGGTCCCATTCTGCTGGAGCTATTGCTGTGACTTTCTTCCCCAGACACAGTGGGCGTGTCTACATGTGCATTTACACTGGCTTAAATTTACTGTGCAGTAAGTGGGAATAGGCCGGTGTCTACATGTGCAGGCATTAAAGCTGTGTGTGGACTAACTTGGCTCTAAAGTTAGCCCCAAGCCAGTCCACACACACGGTGGTACTGCACATTAAGGCGTCTACACGTGCATTACTGCGCAGTAACTAATCGGGCATAAAATTGATACCTGCATGATGCAGGTATCAAATTTGCACTCAAGTCATAGATTCATAGATGTTAGGGGCTGGCAGGGACCTTACAAGATCATTGGGTCTAGGCCCCTTGCACTTGGACAGGAAAGAGTTCATAGGTTGGCACAAGTCACCATATTTACTGTGCAGTATGGGTGTGCACATGTAGACATGCGCCCGTACTGTGCAGTAATTTCAGTTGCTGCGCAGTGCATGTGCACATGTAGACGTGCTCAGTGAATGACACTAGACTGACTGAGAGGAGAGAAATGCCTGAAGAGCTGTGGATCAAGTGCATGTTTCAAAAGAGGGTTGACTCCTTCATTTTAGGAATAGTTGTGGTGGGTCTCTACTTGCTTTGACAGCCAGGAGAGGCGAGTATCTGCTTCCTGGAGCTGTGAAGTAGGATTCTCATTGCAATCAGGCAGCACATCTGGCAAGCAAAGCAAGCACAGATCTGGAAGAGCGAGTTACAATTAGCTACTCTGACTACCTACCAAGACATTTAGTCCTAGTGTGAAGATGTCAAGCAGTGGAGAGTCCTCCAGCCTCTTTCTAACCGTGCACGAGTTCATTTGCTATGTGCACCAGTTCCTGCTGGCTACGACATAGCTGCCATGCAAGAGGTGAGCAGCAGTTCTCCTTGCTTGCTTGACTTCAGGGGCACAGCCTGGGATGTGCACAGCAGGTTCGCTCCTCACTCACATGGCTGCGTGATTTCTGGTGATGCTTGCAGTCCCTACATGGGGGTGGCTTGCTTGCTGCAGCAATGAAGTGACTATAATATCATAGCAGCAAGCCCATACCTTGGTCTTTGCCTAGCTAGGCAGCTTAAAGGGGTTCTTGTCGAGTCCCCTTTGCTCCTTCAGGTCACTGGTTACAGACCTATTTTGTGGTGGCCTTGTGTTAACTGAGGTATAGGGATCCCAAACTCTCCTGAAGAGGCTGAGGTCCTCCAAAGTCCAATATTGCAACAGCATTGTCTTTTCTGATCACCAAGGAGGTGGTGTGATGACTTTTCTTCCGTAGGTAGGGATGGTGTGCCAGGCCAGCACCTCTTGCATTCTCCCTTCTTTCAATGTGTGATGAGTTTGAAGTTACCAGTTCGAGAAACCAGGTACTGCTCTTCCCTCTTGGCGGGAACAAGGTAGCATTTGAGATGAAAAAGCCATGAATATAACACGGATAGGAAGAGAGACATTGTTATCCAATGCGTAACCTGCAGCACCGTACCTTGCCTCGGGCAAACTTTTAGTATCAGGTTCCCCTTCTCCAGAGATAATGATAATAATAATAATAAAAATGACCATTTTGGGGCCCCCTGGCCTGTGTCCAGCCCTGGTGACCTGCTTCCAGACAGAATGGAGACAAAAAGAAGACATTTATGTGAGCACGGCCGCAGGAAGGAGTGTACATCTCCAACGCATCGCCTCATTTGATGTATGCACACATGCACTCACGCGTGTCTTTGTGCAGTGGACTGGTCTGGGATTACCGAGCCGTCTCTCTCCACTCCAGGACTTTGCTGCCCCTGACACAGCTCCCACACAGAGCTACAATTTCTCACTCCATTTAAACTTCCTGGGGTGACTACAAATGCAGCACAGCGCGAAGAGGAAAAAACACGGGACAGACGTTCATTTGTGCTCTTGCGGCTGGTTGGCCTTGTGCGGGATGGACGAGGCATACCCAAATCCTCATGCTTCAGGGCATGAACTGGAAACCTGCTGAGGGTCAGGCAGAAACTTCCTCTACCCCTCTCCTATTTTTATGCACAGATGGGAGATTTCTCCTAAAGCACCTGCCATTTCTGGGGGCATTATAGTCTACAGTGAAGTAGCCAAATTGTTGACTGATCCTCTGCACAAGACACTTCACCCCTAGAAGAGCTTCCTGTTGCAACACGGATCCCATGGCCCATGATCAGGTGCAGAGACTGCCGTAGCAATGCCATATCATGCAATCATATAATCACCTTGGTTGTGGGTCATTGACTGGAAGGGAAGGAGGCAGGAAGACTCAGAAGCGCTAAAGCCATAAGAATAAAACACTTTCATCCCATGGTTAGGCCCCTAAGCTCCCAAGTGAGGCTAAGTCTTTCATCCTCTGTCTCAAGAGGAGCGACTCACCTGACCTTTGCCTTTCAGGACAAGAGCAGGCCTTTCTCAGCCAGGCTTAGGCAAAACCTCTGCAGCTAGAGCTATGCTCCAAGGCCACGCTGATTCCTTTTGGGAGGTGAGAGAAAATTTTGCAGCTAATCCATAATGCCACTCATTGCTGGCCTCTCTGACATGGTGCAGGAAGGTCTCGGTGGGGCAGGCCCCTCCCCACACCGGGCAAATCTTCCCTAACCTCCTCCCAGTGGTGATCTTCCCTAACCTCCCTGCAAACCCAGTGCATCCCAGCCAAGAAAGCCTGAGGACAGGAGCCACGAGACCTGCAGAAACCAGCCCGGGCACTGACCTCAGCGTGTGACTGCAGACAACTTCCCCCGGGCACCCTAGGAACAATCCTGTTGCTGCCCGCGGTGTCTTGAGAACCCAGAATCAGAGACCGGCATCGTTTCAACTCTCCCAGCCCATCATGAAAGCAAGAAGGAGCAAGGGGTTTGGGCACCGGAGCCTGCAAAACCCCGGTTCTGAACCACCACAGACAGCCCCTTTGACTTGGGCAAGGCCATTCAGCTCTCACTGGGCCTCAGTTCCTATGCGTTAAGGGGGACAGAGTCATAGAGAAGTAGGGTTGGAAAAGACCCCCAGAGATCATGTAGGAAGCAGGAGACAGCCAGCCTGGTAGGATAATGGCAGAGCCCTACAACCAAGGGCTTTTGGGAGGATGAAAATATTGGAGACAAGGGTAATGGAAGCCCTTTACATCTATCAGATGGATGGAAGCCACTTCAGCTTGGAAATGAGTGTGTGTCTTATAGGGACAGTAGACCCCCGCATAAGATTGCACAGTGCCTGGAGATGTATGCGGAAAGACACAACACACGCGCCCGCACACAGTTACCGTTGTCCCTAAGCTGGGAAAAAAATAGAAGCTACCTAAAGAAAGACATGGGGGCAGGAGACAGGAAAAATATTCTCCCCATAGAATAATAAGAATAGAATAGAATAGAACAACACAAATAACTGAGGCACGCAGAGATTAAGAGGCCTGTGTTCACACCAAGAAGCAGGAACTGAGAACAAGTTCCCCCGAATCTCCATCCGATTCCTCGCCCCCCCAGCCGGGAGAGCAAGGGAGCATGTGTACACAGCAGGGGAAAGGAGAACAGAGAAAGAAAAAACAAAAAAAGCATCGGACAAATTCCACGCAGCCTGGGAATTTCTGTGAAAATATTGGAATATATTTGAGATTAATTCGGTAGGATTTTACAGCACGGCCCCATATTTTCATCTCATACTTTATTTAACAATATTAAAGAGGCACTTTAATAGCACACATACAACATCATAAAAAGGCCATCCCTGCGCTCTCTCTGCTCTCTGACAAAATATCAAAATAAAAACTTTTGACACAACACATTGCACCAAGGTAAATTACCTACAATAGTTCTATACAATACAAAGGATTGCAATGATACATATTAACAGGATAGAGCCTCTTCTTTTTTTTTTCCCTTTTAAATCTAAAAAAATAATAATAATTGCAGGACAGACGCAAAGTACTCTGACTGTTCATATCACATCAGTGCATATCTTTACCTCCTTGACTTGGGAGTGTTCAATAGTATTTGTCTTCCATGTCATCCTTTGCACCTGAGATTTCTTTCCGATTCAAAAGTTCAGTTGTATACCTGCTCGATCATGTGACGTAACCTTTGCAACACTATGGAGTACCAGCATACAGGATTTTTCTTTAAAAAGTTTTATTTTCCTGCTTTTGTTTTACAGGTAACCGCTACTTCCTAACTGTTCCCTTTTATTCTTAAATCAAGGAAGTCTGTATTCACATTACAAAAATAAAAATAGCACCAGTAACTGCATAGTATAAAGCTGATACCTATATAGCTACTAACTCAATACAGTAAGATAGTTTAGAAGTTATACCGTTAAGTACCTCGGACAGTACCGTTTTGGTGTGGTAAGTTGGCACAGTTTCGTCGTTGCGCAAATATTAAAAAAAAAATAAAAAATAAAAATAAGAGTCTGTCACAAATGTCAAGGTGCAGGTCCCTAGCATTCTCACTGGTCATCCACAAGCATCATCTACAGTGGTCAAATAACGGCAGCAACGTCGGATATGCACTAATTGCCCACGCAGCACAAAACCTAACTCCTCATTTTCTTGACAATGTAGAAACAAATTCGTAAGGGTGGCTGTCAAAACATGGGGCACTCGGTTCTTAATTTATTATTATTTTTAATTGCATCGTGTCTTAGGCCAGCGCCCAATTAAATGAATTGTATGGGATTATTTGTGCAAAATCTTCACAAAAAAAAAAATTTGCTTTCTACAGTGTACTGCACCTTATGAATAAGACGTCTATGGAATGAAGTTCATCTCTTCAAGTACTTTGTACAAAGATAACACAGACACAGTCTCAAAAGGGTCTGAGATTTGCAAGTATCCTTATAACCTCAGCACTTCTGCAATAAAGCAATTGCTCTTGACGATTCAGTCTGCCCAAAGCGATTACAATTTCAGTTCATGGAAATCATCAGCAACATCAAAGTTGTAGCATTTGCATGATAAATCAGGTGAATTAAAGTAGATTAGTAGACACAAAGCAAACTATTTCACAGAGGCTGCAGTGCAAGTTCATTTAAGCTAGACAGAAAAATCACGCTACACAAACGAATTTAATGCTTTGATAATTTTTTTTTCCCCCTTGCAAACCCCATGAAAGCAGCTGCGGCTCACCATAAGTCACTTTCATAAATTACTCTGAAGTATCTCGTCTTAAAGGAATTTTAAAGCTAGTTAATTTCTGTCCAAACAGTTGGCTTAGCAGATTGTTCTGGGATTCGGCTGTCCTGTAATTGTGGGAGTCAGCAGGTTTAGCACCTTGGACAGTTCTGTGCCGGCCTATGGCGCCGTGGAGGGACGTGCCGGGGCCTTTGGCCAGGAGGTGGTGGAAGGTCTTTCCGAGGATGTCCTTCTTGCGTTTCAAGTCCCCGTTGGTCTGGCGGATCTCCACCTTCTTCTGGTTGTAAGTGTCGAGCACCATCTTCTTCAGCTGGTGCCCAACACCGACCATGCGGGGCTTGGGAATCAGTTTGTTACAGTGCGTTTCCCTCCTCCCAGGGGACAGGGCCGAAGCCTCGTTGCTAGTCCAGTCCCCTCGTTTGAGCTCCCCGGCGCTCTCGCTTCTCCCCGGGCCTGGCGTTCGGGCTTTCTTCTTCTTCCCGTCTCCCTCGATGTTCTCCCTGGAGGCCGAGCTGCCCTTGTGACTCAAAGACTTGTGCTCTTTTCGCTTCTTCGGGTGAAGCTTGCCCGTGCCGTTCAGAGCCCGCTTGTCTGAAGACTTCCCTGCCTCCAAATGGCTGTGCTTCACCGGCTCACCCTTGAGCTGGTTGCTTAGAGGCTTGTTTTGATTGCTTCCTATTTCTTTGATGTTGGTGTTCGCACCGCTGTCTTTGGCAAAGGCGCCCGTTTCGGGCATGGCTTTGTCTTTTAGAGAGCAGGGTTTCAGTACCTCCTCTGGGTTGCCCCCAGCACCGGTGGTATTCAAGGCAGCCTCGCCATTGACTTGACTGCCTATGGTTTTCTTCTGAGAGGCCAAATCTTTAGCCGCCCTGTTCAGGACAGGGGATGCCGTCTTGTCCTTTAAAGGCAAGGAGTGATGGGCACTGTCCTTGGGAGCTGTGTCATTCACATTCAGGTTGGTCAGCAAGGGTTTATTGGCTTCCTTGGCTTGTGGAGCCTCTGCTCGTGGCACAGGGAGCTCTGGGACCTTCTTAGCAAGCTTGAGGAAATGGGTCTCTTTGGCAAGGCTTTCTTGTGGGCTGGGGTCGTCCAACAGCCTCATGACATCTTCATCGTTATTGCCCAGGGTTGCTTTTTCTTGGACGTCTGCATGCCCATGCTTCTCAGTGAGATGAGGTGGAGACCGCTTTTCGTCTTCTGCCTGGTTACAAGCTAGACCGGTCAGGTCCATGCTAAACTCTGAGGAGTCCAGGAAATGTTTCCCATCAAAGGCACCTTTCTCAAGGTCCTCGACGGAAAGCGTAGCAATGTGGCTGAGCTCTGGGTCGCTCGCTATTGCTTGGGGCCTGGATGGGGACAGGCACGCAGGTGGAGGGAGGGCACCAAATGGAGATTTTTCCATTTCAGCCAGGAGCTCTGAGAAGTCACCCACAAGGTCTTCTGTTTTCACAGAGGCTTGGGGCAACGGTGCTTCAGGGCTGCCGGCGGCTGCAGGGAAGGGCTCGCTGGCCGGTGTTAAAGAGTCCTCTCCTAGCTGCAGGTCGCTGTTGTGGTCCAGGTGCACAGGCGAGCTGCGTGCAAACAAGCTGCCATGGTGTGCCACCTTCCTCTTCTTGCTCGGCGGCACATCCTCCCTTGGAGAGCTTTCCTCTTTAATTTTCTCATTCCCATCCTTGGAGGGGAGGCCAGGCCTCATGACCCCCCGGAACTTGAAGGTCTTACTGCTCCCTGCCAGGTGCTTTTCCATGTGCCGGTCGTACTGCTCTTTCTTGGAGAAGGTGTAGTTGCACATGCTGCAGATGAAGGACTTCTTGATGACGTGCATGACGTCAGCACAGAGCTCGCACGCGTACAGCGTGGTGTGCTTGATCTCCGGCTCCTCCACGATGCCGTGCTCGTGGCCTAGGTGGTTGCGAAGCTCTTTGGTTTCCTGGTAGAACATGGGGCACTTATGGCACAAGTAGATCTTCTGCAAGCTGTGCACCACTAAGTGACGCTGGAGCTTGAAGGGCTTGGGGAACTGCTTCCCGCAGTGATGGCAGTCCCTGGAAGGGTCCTTGCAGTCGGGATGCATGGGCACAGCCTTTGGAGCGCTCTCACATTTAGGCATGTGCTCTGGCGATGGGATGGAAGATGCTTTGGAAGAGCTGGAGGGGCAAGAGGGTGGTTTCATCTCTGCCAGGTCCTTTACTACTTTGGCCTCTTGCTCCAGGGGTTGCTCTCTTTGGCTTTTATTCTCTTTGCAAGCAGGGGGCTTGCTGCTGCTGGACTCCACGTGCCTGGATGACTTGCTGGGTTTGCGGTACATGATGGTATTCAGGAAATGGGTGACGGCAGCGTTATCCTCGCTGAAGCAGGCGGGCAGACCCATGACCGATTTCTGGGCCTGCCCTTTCCGAGCGAACTGAGTGGCATGCTCGCGGAGGTGCTCGTTGTACATCCAGACGTCGGAGATCTCCTTCAGGCACATGCCGCAGGCCCACAGGCCCGCCTTGTTCTTGGCGTGTTTCTCTTTTAAATGGTCTCTCAGCTGCTCCCTCGAGCTGAATTTGCGCTGGACGCACATGTAGCAGGTGGGAGGTGGGGACGGGTTATGGGTGAGCTTGTGGAAGTCCAGTTCTCCTAAGGTGAGGAACCACTGGAAACACACTTTGCACTTATACTGTTTGTCTTTGGTCTTGAGATTTAAGTCGCTTCGGTTCTTCCCGGCTTTCCCATCTTCTACCTTATTTTTGCTGTGCTTGCTATGCTGGCCTGGCTTCTGCTTGAAGCTCACCACACTGTCATCTGGATGGACAGGATTATCTTCGCCCGCGCTGACAAAGCACACGTCCCTCATCTTGAATTTGGCATTCAGCATCTCAATGTCGACTGTATGAAACCCAGGTGAGTTGGGGTCCTCGTTAGCCTTGCTATCGTAGGGTTCTTCTTCCAGGTCTGGAGGCTCAGGGCTCGTCTCCACCGCCGAGCGTTCATTTTCAGGCTCTACCAGGGGCTTGAACAGCATTTTGTTAGCGGGAACGCTTTCCACCTCCTTGTCGAGGCTTCCCCAAATGGTCAAGTTGGGAATGTTTTCCATCCGGTTGTTTTGGCATAAGAAAGTTAACACGTTATCCTCTTCCAGGTCAATCACCTCCTTCTCTTGGCTGGCTCTCTTATAATCTGTGAAATTTGTCGAAGGGCTGGAGACAGCATCGTGCCCCTTGGGCTTGCTATTGTGACACATATTGAGCATTAAGGCATCGTCGATAGAGATGGTTTCGTATTCGCAAGGATCATCCCTGGTGACACAGAAAGAGCTGGTTTCGCTGAGGTCAGAAGCCAGCCGGATGCTAAAGAGGTCCTCGGTGCCTACTGGCTTGATGTTCGCCTCGCTAACGGGCTTGGGTTTCTTCGTCCGCTTCCCGTACACACGCGTGCACTTCCTCCGGGTGAACTGGTCGTCCCTGGGGAAGAGCTGGGAGAACGTGGTGTCGTCGTCGAACAAGCTCTGCAGGTCTGGCTCAGCCACGCTACTGGTGCCGTGCCCTTTGCTCGGCTGCGCCTCTCCTTGTCCCCAGGGCCGGGGCGCGGAGGAACAAGGGCTGCCGTCCGAAGCATGTTCCTGCCCTCCTGGAGCGGGATCCTTCGGGGCTGGTGCGGCGTCCCGAGTTTCTGCGGGCCGGTCCGGCGTGGCTGGGCCGGAGGGATGTTTCAAGGCACTGCTCCACTTCCCGTGGCTGCCCTCTCCCAAGGAGCTCTCCGTGGCCTCAGGCCCTTTCGCCACTGTGGCATCCCCATCCTCACGCTGCTCTTTGCAAACCTGACTCAACCCCTTCTCCACTTGCTTCACCAAGCGGGTCGACCATTTCTCTTCCGCCCGCGCCTCTTCACTTCCATTCGGAGCCTTCCTCGGCTCACCCGTGTCCCGGGAGGCTGTCTCTTGTGAACAGGATGCCTCCTCACCAACCTCCTCTGAGGGCCCGGCTGCACGAGGACACGGCTCTGCTGCGGGAGAGGGCTGTGGCGAGCGAGGCCTGTCCGATGCCTCTGCCGAGATGCGGTCGCCTGCCTCAGCCATGTCCTCCAGCTTCCTTGACCGTCTGGCTCCCAAAACATCTTGGGACGGGATATCCCTTGCGTCCTTCTCCGAAGCGCACAGTCTGCCAGCTTCGCTCTTGTTGGGAAACGTCTTGGCTTTCCTCCGTCTCACCTTTCTGCTGAGTTTCCTCTCTGAATTGCTGCTGCACCCTTCGGGATCTTTACTTTGGCTCCTCCAGCCTTTCTCCCTCTTCCCGGGATGCTTCTTGGGGTCGGGCTTCTCCATGCCCAAGTCCTCTACCACCACCGTGCACTGATATTTTGGCTTGGGGTCTTTACTCGGCATATCCGTGCACCGGAGCTCCTGGGACATCCCCAGCGAGACCACACTGAGGTCACTGAGCACTCTGCTAACGACTTCTTGCATTTGCGCATTGGGCTCCTTCTCCGGACTGGCATACGCTTTCCTGGGCACGAGCGCAGCAGCAGCAACAGCGGGGACCTGCGAGTTACCCGCTCTCTCTCTGTCGGCATCCTTTGCACCCTTCTTGGGGCCTTTCCTGGAGAGCCTCGATGCCTTGTCCAGAGGAATTAAACGGGGCCGGGAAACTTTGCTCGGCACTGCTGTGCTGTCATTTTTCATTCGATGCTTTACTGCTTTGTGCCTGGTCAGGCCAGGTTTGGACCGGAAAGAGGCAGAGCAAATGTCGCAGGTGACTTGGAGCCCACTTTGTTTCTTTTCTTTCACACGCTCCTTTCTGGAGGCACTCGGGAGAGCGTCCGACACATCACCGTCATCTTCTTGGTCCGTGCTATTTTGAACGCAGCTGCCAGCTCCGCCACCACTTCCAGACCCATCTCCTTCTGCCGTCCCTTCTTTCCCATCCAGGCTCTTGCAATGGTCTCCTGCTCTCGTCTCTGAAAAGTGTTGGACTCCTCCGTCGAGAGGCCCAGGATCTATCGTGTTTAGGCCAGGGCTCGCAGCAGTCGGCGCCTGCTGAACAACAAAGCCAGAGGATGAGGTCTCTGGCTTGCTTCGCTGGTTGTGGCCCTCGTGACAGCCTTTTTCAAACTCCTGTTCTTGACTTAAGTTGGATTCAGCATCTTGTTTTCTCATTTGCAAGAGATTCATGGGCTCTGCTGAGTAATTGCTGGTTTCTGGTGCCGCCTGGCTACCACGCAGAGGTGCGGGCTGAGACTTCATCGTCGTACTCGCTTTTCCCTCGTTGTAACGGGGGCCCGGGAAGGCAGCACTGGGGCCTTCCTTCGGCTCTTGACCCACGTCTTTTCGGTCAAAGCAGGAAAGAGCGCAGTCCTTCAGCTGCAATTTCTGGTGGCTCTCCAAGTCCAACGCGGCGGCTGCCAGGTCGTTGGGGCACAGTGGGGCAGGAGGTCTTGCCAACTCTTCTTTCTCAGGCTGCTGAAAGTTATTTAGGTCTTCAGCAAGGCAGCGCTGGATGCTTCCCAGGGGCTCCCGTGGTGCGGGGGCGGCAGTATTACAATGCTGCGGGGTGGGTGGAAACAAGAGCGCGCCTTTCCATTTGCTTTGCACCCCGGGACTCTGGGCTGGATGGCAAATGGGGTTGCTCTCGGGGTCCGAGGGGCGCCGCTTCACCAGAAATAAACTCGACTGAGTCTCTGCAGTCAGCAGCGAGGCGCCGTACTGATCCCCTTCTGGAAGCCGCGTGCCGAAGCTGGAGAAGCCCAGATTTTCAGTACTGGTGCTCTGCAAATATTTCTGGTGAGAAAAGCTGGGCCGCAAAGGCAAACCGCCCAGCGAGTCCTCCTTATAGTGACAGGCTTCGAGGGCCTGCATTTTTGTGCCACCCCCTTCTTTCGGCATCTGAGCATTTACCAAATAGACATTCGTTTCGCGCAGGAAATGATCTTCCCGCTGAAGATCTTCTGCAGGGTTTAATGGGCTGGCAGGAGCCAGAGACACATGGCTAAGGGGCTGTGGCTCCTGTCCCACCTTGCTGGTGGACCCTCTCCTGCTGCGCTTTGCAGCGCGTGACAGCTGCACCTCTGGACCGGCCCCGTCGCACCAAGGACCGCAGTCGGCATCGCCAACGTTTAGCGTCTCTGGCAATGCCTTGCCTACTGTTTCTTTCTCAAATGATCTATGGCTTAAATAGGATTGCCTGTGTTTTTTAAATGCCAAGGTTGCTTTGTTTTTATCTTGCTCCTGCTCCTTCACAATCTGATCCGATTTCTGTCCCTGCCCTGGCGATGGGGTTCGCGCCGAGTAGCCGAGTGGGGAGAGGTTATTATGCTCTTGGGAAACACCATCTGGGCGGGTATTAATGTCGCCCGGCTCTGAACATTCATTTGCTAAGTGCTGCAGCTCCGTTACATTATTGTGCAGCTCTTCGTTCATGAACGCGGATTGCTTTAGAGCGTAGGAGGCGGCTTCGGGGAACGGGTCCAGCTGTTCACCCGCCCTGGAAAAATGCCTGTTTTCTTCCGAGCCGGCAGCTATGCCTATTGCTTCTCCCAGGGGGACCGTCCCGTCCACACGCACGTGACAATATGTCGCATCCTCGCTGTCCGTGCCGCTGACGCTCTCCTCCTTCTGCTCAGCTTGGAGGCTGGTGCCGGGGGGTTGGTGGCTGGCAGAGAGCAGCATTGGGAAGCACGGCATCATCAACTCCTCTTCGTTGTTCTTGACTGTCCGGGCCACGAACAGCTGGAGCTGCTGCAAGGGGTTGGCTGCTGTCTCTTGGGTGCCAGCCTTCTCCGTGCCACGCTCAGCTTCTTTGGGCAAACTCAGGATATCAAACAACAGCGCCTTGCGGTCGCTACCCTTGTCGCACGGCACTGGGGAGGGGTAGGCTGCCGGGTCCTTGCTTTCTTCAGTCTCTTCCAACAGTGCCGACCCACTCTCATCTCCGCCGAAATGCACGGCGCTTTTCAGCCCTTCGGGCGATGCCGACTTAGACTTACTCAAGGGGCTTTCTTGGGAGTCCGTGACATTTTGGGGATGGGAGGAAAAGGCCGGGACCCGCTCTTCTTGGAACCCAAATTCCGATTTCAGGTTTGCAGCGTGGCTGCCAAACGTTCCCAGCTTGGGAGGGTCATCAAAGCTTTCCTCCATTTTCCCTGGGAGAGGAAAGCCCTCAGGGCCACGCGAGCTTGGCAGGGATGGCAACATATCTTGCTCGCTCAGATCGGCTGCCTTTAGCGTGTTAGGGCATGAGAGATCACTAATCGCAGGGCTTTTGATCACCCGCTCTGTGTAAATTGGAGCCTCTATTTTCGTGGGCACGCAGGAGTCGGGGACTGCACTCGCCGTCTCTCTGGAGTCCGTTTCCTCGGGAATTTCGGCTTCCTGGAACTGGCTGCAGGCCTCTTTGGGGCAGAAATGGTCTACGGGGATGGGGTCGTCAGAAGCTGGCGCGCACATGCTTGAGTCCAGAGAGCTGAACTCAACCGGGCAAGGCCAGGCATCCCGATGGCTCTCGTAGCTGCCATCTCTGTCCGGAGCAGCAGGTTTCACAGTCCCTAGACTCTCGCTGACGCAGACTTTCGGGGCAAGGAGGCCCGCGCTCCCGAGACCGTCTGCCAAGAACAGTCGCTTTTCATTGCTCATCTCCTGATCCACGGGCAGAGGGGAAAACTGGCCCGAGGCGTCTCTCAGCTGCGTCCCGATGTGTTGCTCCACTTTCTGATGCACGGCAGGTGCCTCTTTATGCAGCTTGTTGGTTTGCAGCTGGTTTTCCAGTTCTGTGACCAGCCGCTTGATCTCCAGCTCGTCCTCGGACGCGTTGTTCATGAACGGGACGTTGTAATCAGTGACGCGCTCCGGCAGAGGCAAAGACATTTGACCGCCGGCTACGGTCCCCTCGTCAGGAAACTTCTTAGCTAACGGCTTCTCCACCGAAAGACCATGAAATGGAGGGATGTCTTCTGCCAAAATTGGGGGCACGTCCTCCATCAGAGCCCACTCCTTCTCTTGCAGAAACGGAGGGTATTGCTGCTCAAACGGCATCGCTTTGCCGGGCGGGTTGCCGGCGCAGGCAAACATCACGTAACTGTCCTTGCTCGCGGACACGCTGCTGTACAATGGGGCGTCGAATTCGGCGACGGGAAGTTCTTCGAAAATTGAGGAGGAATCAAAGCTCAGAGGGGAGGAGACTTTGGCCCGCTGACTTTCCGCCGCGTATGCAGACAGACCGGCCTCTTTCTGTTCGAACGAGCCGGCATTCATGTCCGCCTGGCATAAGTACATCTCATCCATGTGCGAAGAGCCCAGCGGCGGTGGCTTTGAGAAGAGGTTGGTGTCGTAGTGATCGGACAGGTCTTTTGGGTTGTAAAAGGCTTCCTCGGCGTTCACGTAGGTGCCCGGTTCTTTGACGGCTAGCATCATCCCGGCGCCGTCCCTGCTGTAACAGCGGTCGCCGCAAAGCCCGTGCTCCTTTAGGTACTTGATGCCTGTTTCGGAGTAGCTCGCGGTGCCGGGACTGGCCTCGTGACCGAGGTGGGGTGCAGCGATCAATTCTTCCGAGTGATACTGGAGGGCATCCTCGTTATACGGAGCGAATGGGCCCCGCTGGCTGACCGCTGCCAAGCCCGATGGCTCCGGCGTCTCTGGCACGGCTCGTGCCGTCTCCTCGGCGTGGCTGGCTGCCTCTCCAGCGTCATCCTTCCTGTAACGCGGGAGGGGGCTCTGGCTCGAAGCGTCCTCGCCGCGAGCCTGCTGCTCTTCGCCCTCCGTGGGAGACACGGTTGACTCGCGACTCTCGTCCGCCCCGGAGCCCGTCGGTGGACACTTGGCGGAGCCAAACCTTCTGGTCCCTCTGGAAAAGCCGCCCTTGCTTTTGTGGCTCTTCTTGGGGGCCTTGGCGTTGGAGGGGCTGGGAGGGAGCGGTGCCGCGTGCTCACCACTCTCTGAGCGCCGCCGTCTCCGCGCGCTGCCCTTCTCAGCGTCCGAATCTGCCTGCTCCGTGCCAGGGGGGCTGGCGCTGGTCTCGCTCGACAGGCTCGTGCTGCGGCGGCTGCCCGTGGAGGAGCGGCTGCTTCTCCGGCGCGCTCTGGCCGTGCAGTCGTCCTTCTTGCCGGCCTCGCTGCCTGGGGCCTGCCTCTCTCTCTTCTGGCTATAGAGCCAGGCTGGCTCCTTCTCCTTGCCCGAGCGCCTCCGGCTAAAGCTGCATTTGGGTCTCCCGTTAAAACCCGAGCCCGGCTTCCTCCTGCCGGGCAGCGCAGCGTACTCCGCGCCATCGTCCTCGGAGTCCGAAATGTAGTCGTACTCCCCAAACTGGCCGTCCTGGGGGGCCGGCAGCAGCCTCTCGGTGACCACGGAGAACTGCATGTTTGCACTGCTCTTCACGTGCAGCTTGTGCAGCTTGTTCTTCTGCTGCACGATCTTGTGGATCAGCTCCTTGCTCCAAGTCCCGCTCCTGAGCTTCCGCTTTTTCCCATCCTTCATGGAGAAGCGCGGCGGCTTGGCGCTCTTGCTGGCGGTGGCCGGGCCGGGGGCGCTAGGCCGCGCATCGCTCTTCGCGCAGGGGTCCTGGGTGGCGTTTCTGCACTGTTTCTTCTCCGCACCGGGTTTGGGGACAGTCGTGGGGGCGGCAGACTCGGCGCTGCCCTTCCTCCCCGCCCTCAGCTTGACGCTCTTGTCCGCTTTACCCGCCGGGACCTGATCGGCACCCCGGCTCTGATCCAGCTTCTGGGCCCCACGGTTGGCAAACCTCCCCGCCGGCCTCCCCTTATGAACGTGCTGCTTCCCCGACGTCCGGCTCTTGGTCGCCTCTTCGCTGGGGCGATCCTCTTCGTAGTAATAGGCGGTTTTCGGCTTCTCCTCGGCGCCCAGGTGTTTCTGCTTGCTCTCCGGGGTGTCCTTCGGCTTGTAGGGCGCCCCGCTGCTGGCAGCCTTCGCCGACGTGAGCTCCTCATCCACGAAGACGTCCATGAAGCTACTGTCGATCTCCGGGTTGTCGGACTGGTACCCCAGGCCGTTCAGCGCCTCTGTGATGAGGCTGTCCAGCTTGGCGTCGTCGATCTCCAGGTCGGAAGCGGTCAGCGGCGGGGCGGCGACGGCGAGGCCGTGGAAGAGGTTGGCTTTCAGCGGGTCGTCCTTCGCCTCCCCGTCCAACAGGAAGTCGACGTTCTTGTTCAAAGTCAGCAGGGGCGAGTGGGCGTCGGGGGCCAGCGGCAGCCCCAGCCCGGGTTGGGGGTGCTTCGCGGGGTCGGGGAGGAGCGGTTTCCTGCCCTCGGCGCCCCGGGCGCCGTCCTTCGTCTCCGCCTGGAAAACGGCGTGGGAGCCGCAGAACTGCCGGTGCTCCAGGAAGGAGGAGAGGTTGCTGTAGTTTTGGTCGCACTGCTTGCAGGTCAGCAGCACGTCCAGCTGGTCCAGGCTGGCGCTGCTCAGCGAGTTGGCCAGCAGGTGATGGGACAAGTACGGCGGCGGTGGCGGCTCCCCCTCCAAGCCGTCCAGGCCCGCTTTGTGGTACGGGGCCTCGGGCAGGCATTTGAGCAGGGGCTCGTCCTTGGTGGTGTCCGCGGGGAAGTGGAAGGACTTGGCGGCCTCGGGGGGCTGGTAGTGGAGGGCGGGCACATCCTTGGGGTGGCACGGGTGGGGGTAGAAGGGAGACGGAGCCAGCGCGGGGGGCATCTGGCTGTCCTCGAAGCTGGGGTTGCCGGGGCTGGCGGACATGGGCGAGAGGGACGAGCACGTGCTGCCGCCCGCGGGGTTGGGCACGGGCGACGGGAGCGGGGATTCGTGCGGGGAAGCCCCCACCAGGGTGGGGGGCGGCAGCGCCAAGGCGAGGGCGGGGGGGTTCCTGGCGGGCGCCGCTTGCTTCAGGCTGTAGAAGAGCGCCTTGCTCCTCGCATCGCCCCCGGGGGACCCGGCCTCCTTTCTGCCTTCGAAGGGGAAGGCGTTTGTCGGCTGCCGGCCGGCGTCACTCCTCAGGCCATCTCCGGGCAGCAGCTTTTTGCTGTGGTACCCCGGGACGCTGGTCAAGGGGGGGCCCTTCTGGATTTTGCCCCCTCCTTGCCACTCCGAGGTGCCCAGCGGGAACGGGAACTTCTGGCTGGTGATCTGCCTCGAGAGCTCGATGCGGTTCTGGCTGGGCACGGCGGAGGTGAGGTGGATTTGCTGCCAAGGCATCCGGGAGCTTTTTTGCACGTGCTGCCTTTGCTCCGGGCTGGATTGGCACTCGAATGAGAACTGGTTTCCAACGGGGTTCGAATAAGGTGCTGAACTGGGGTCCAGGGGAGGGAAGGCCTTGCTGGCTCCGTCCCAGGCCTGCAGCAGCCTGGGGTGGGGCTGAGCAGTCGCGGGGATGCTTTTCTCGAAAGGCACCGACGCCGCGCTTACGCCGCCGGCCGCGGAGCTGCAATAAACTTTGTTCTGAAAGTGCACTTGGGAGACAGAGTTTTGTGGCATGTTCCTTCTAAGAGAGCTACCCGGGGCCAGTATCCTCGGACCGGGGACACCGTCTTTCAACGTGCATTGCCTCTTACTGACCGGCTTTGGCATAGTAGGAGTGTGTAAACTAGACGGAAAAACAACTTGGCTTTCTTGGAAAGTGCTTGGGTTTTGGTCGATAGCACCAGAAGAAGAGATAGCACCATTAAGGTCAGTGGAGTGCTCATTCCTCCCCTTGTAGCAAGGCAGCGGGGACTGGTGATGGACCCCCGGCGCCTGCGACGGCAGGAACTGAGCGGGCTGAGAAGGCAGGCCGTACGCCCTGCCCTCCGGGACCACGTTGTCGTAGGAGCCGTTGCTCAGAGCCTCGTCTTGCCAGTCTCTGGAAGAGGAATGGAAGCTGAAAGCACCATGAGTCACCTGGTTTGCCGCCAGGGAAACATCCATATAATCTTGGCTGCTCGCATCGTTGTGGTAGGACTCCTTCACCGCGTCCTGCACCGGCTGGCACGGATAGGGGAAAGGCAAGGGCCCCGGGCTGCGCGCGCCGGACTTGCCGCTCTCGGGAAACGCGCCGGCTTTCGGGGCAGACAGGCCGTAGGTAGCGCCTGGAAAGATCTTTTCGGGGGATGGCCACGAATTCACCCCGTTGGCCTGGAAGTCTAAATAGTGTAACTGCCCGCCGGCGCCGGGGCTTTTGTGGGGGACCCCCACGGGCGACTGTCCCTTGGCGGCGTGGTTCTGGCGTGCGGTGGTTGTCGCCTGTGAGGTATAACTGGTGGCGGTGAGGCTGGAGGAGGCCTCAGGGAAGCATCGGCTGAAGCCGAGGTCCTCCTGCTGCAGCTCGGCCTCCCTCTCCGGGATGCTGGGCACGTGGAAGCGGTAGCTTCCCGAGATGGGCCCTCGGGGGACTTCGAGCTTCTTGGGCGGGATGACCTTCTGCTGCGGGTAGGCGATGCCGATGGTGGGGTTGGGCCGGGCGTTGGCGATGCTGAGCCGGTAGAGCTGGTGGTGGCCGCGCTCCCCCTTCCCAGACCGCCGGCCCTTCTCCCGCGCTCGGCTTTTCCCCGGGGGAGACTGCGGGCTCCCCTTGACGCTGCCCCAGGTGCCATCGCCGGCGAACGCGGGCCTGTTGTGGAGGGACTTGAAGTCGATCTTGCCCGCCTGCTGCGGCCGGATCACGGCTTCCCGCTGGCTGTGGGGCTCCTTGTCCTTGGCGCTGGGGAAGGGGGGCGCGCTCTCGGCCCCGCTGTGCAAACATAGCTCTGAGCTGTCCGGCAAGCCGCCATCGTACTCCCGCGCCTCCTTCTCGCCGTAGCGCTCGAAGACAAAGTCTTTGTCTTTGGAGCTGGACTCGGTGTCGGGGATGGCGTACGCATGCTGGGTCTCCCCTGTCATGATACCGAGGGGCAGGGCTAGAAAGCGCTGGCTTCCCTTCGCTCCATGGGGTTAGATGCTGCCTTCGCGGGCATGGCCCCTTGTTCGCCGGCAGTTAGGAGGAGGCTGGATTAAAAGGGCAGTGGCACCCTGCTCCCACATCCATCCCGGCTGCTGGACAGGCTGGGCGCGGGGACGCCGGCTGCGGGGAGCCTCATCGTTCAGGATGGGACCTACAACAAAGAGAAAGCGCGGTGAGACCGGGGAGGACGGAAATGAGGGCTTGCCTAACGCCACGGAGCCCAAGGACGTGGGGGGAAAGGGGCTGGCTCCGTGCAAAGCATTGCTACCTGCATTCATCGGCATTTAACCAGGGTAGAGGGTGGCCTCGTGTAGGGAAGATGTCACACGTCACCCCTGGACAGCTCGTGATGGGGAGAAAGGGGCTTGGGTCTCCTGGGGGCAGGGGGCTGGGGGAAAGAGCCGCTCCCCCCTCTTTGCAGAAGCCCCTCAAACTTCTGGCTCTTCAAAGGCGGCTCTGAGCATTTTACCTTCTGCAAAACTTGCTGAGGGCGGCAAATTTCTCCCCTCAGCAGCTATTTCTGGGCCCTGATTAGCAGGCTAAGCAGGAAAAGATGACAGAAGAGCTCCACCTACGGATTACTGGGAATGACGGTCAGGGACGGGCTCTGCCTGGCTGTGAAAGGTGCCCTGGAAAGGAGTTTCCGCCTTCCCCCCTGCTCCCCCACCGCTGCTCCTCTCCTTGGCTTCTCTCTGGCACGGCACCGGTCCTCACTTTGTTCTCCCGGCTCCTGCCCTTGGGCCCTTGGTGGCGGGAGGTTTGGGGTTTTTACTTCCAGCCACGTGACCTCAGCTCCCTGCGCAAATGCACCCGCGAGGACTCGCTGGAGCATCTGCATCGAGATTGCATTTCAGAAAAACATTCTGGCTGCCGGGAGCATTTCAGGAGCTGCGGTGGTTTCCGCAGGACGGGTTTGGGCCCAGGGTGCATGCAGAGGGGGAACAGGCCCGGACAGTTCCTTGCTTTTGCCAGCAAATCAGGTGGAGAAAGGATTAGAAACTGGGGATCCTCCATCCCAGGCCAGTGAGTCTCTCCCTCCATCCCCTTCCTCTTCCCTCGTGCAATGAAAACACACCCTGAACCTACAGCCGATGCTGCCAAACACAGCAGTTTCCCCCACATCTGGTTTAGCTGGATCATGGCATGAAAACACAACGGAGGGGAGCGTTTAAAAATCCCCCGTAGGGAGCTCTTGAATAGCAGAGATTTCTGGCCACGGCTATAGCGAGCACCTTCTTGCCTTTAGCCATGCTGGGAGGACAGCTTATGTCTCAGGGACATTTTTCCTAAAGCCTTTGTAAAACCCATGCTTCCCTGCAGAAGGCATTTCACACCTGCTGCAGAAATGCAGCCGGCTCTGGGGGAGAACGCGCCGGCTGCTTAACAGAGCACAGCAACACTAAGCCCCGGGAAGCAACGACTGCAACATCTGGCTGCCCCTTGACCAGCCCCACTCTCGTGAAAAGGGATCGAGGGATTTCTAATGATCAGAAGCACCATTTAGTATGCCCCCCCAAACCCCGGGATCCCACTACCCCCACCACCTCCTGCGTGCCCCCCACCCAAGCGCTGGCCCGCTTTGACCTTGCCCTGCACACCAGAGCTAAAAGCAGGCACCTGCAGCAACAAGGCGAGGAGGGGAGGAATACAGCTTATCGCTGCTCCCATCGCAGCAGCCGCATGCAGTGAAGCGAGCTGTGTCACTGCGACCTGCCTCTCCAGGGCTCTGCTAATTATAGCTCCAGGCAAATTGACTTTTAGGAACCCGGCAGGCCCGCCACGCCACGATCCCTGGTGCAGGCACCGGCCCCTGGGCAAAGCGAGGCACTGACGCGACTGCCGGGCAGTGGTGCCCAATGGACACATCACCGGTCATGCCCACACTCGCCTTTCCAAGCTGGTTTTACCGTTGCAAGATCCAGGTCTCCGTGAAGACCGGCTGTCGCGAGGAGCTTGAGTGCATGTAAACCTAGTAAGGACTTTAAATCTAAAGCCCAGAAGCTTGCGACTAAAGAATTTTCTTTTTGCAAAAATCTAGCTGGTCTAATTAAAGATATCACCTCTGCCGTGAGTCCTGACAGCTTTAAATCTAATGACTTCTCTGCCATCAGCATCTGCGGTGCCCACGTCTCCCCACTTCGCACCCTCTCACGGTTTTTCTCGCGGCTCTGTCACGCGACAAGGTCGGAGGGGGCAAGTTTTAGGGTTTTTTTGTACAATAAAATAGGGAAGCCTGGATGGGACGGACCAGGTTGCACCTCCCAGTCCTACATCCCTATGTTTTAAAACAGCATGCCCACGCGGATGGGACCTTGGGAGCTGTGACCCCAATCTTCCAAGAGACGTCCCGGACTCGCCAGAGCGAGCTAGCTCGGTAGCATTGCCACCCCCTCCCCAGCCCTTGAAAACCACAGTCGCCACCGCCGGAGCCAGGGAGCGCATCACTCGGAGATGTGGTCAGAGATAGGCAAAGAAGGTGGCGGATGATAACCAGGCCCACAACCAGGAAATGTGTCTGGGGGTCACCGCAGATGCCTGGGAGGGTACCGCTGAGCCTAGGAAGGAAAGGCCTTGAAACAACAGGGTGTTTCGAGCCCGGATGTGATGTCTCCTGTCTTTGCCGAGGTACGAGGCCCCGATCTCCCAGCTTCGGGAGGCATCTAATTCAATTCCTTTGCTTTTTACCAGGCTTCGGCTGAGGGTCGCACTCCCTCCCACCTCCCGGTTTAAGGAGGCTCCACAGCGGATCAGCCGCGTATGACCGCACAGCTCTCCCAGCGTCGCCCGCGACAGGCTCTTGGACCGGGAGCACGGGATGGATCCACCTGGTTTGCAAACCGGGACGTGGCCTGGGCGGCACAGCCCCAGGTGGGGAAAGGCAGCTGACCCTGCAGCTGGCCAACCCACCCACCAACTAGCCACGCCACGGTGTGGGCCTCGGCCCCTTTTCCTCCTGCGTGTCATTAAAGCCTCTGCCCAGGAGAGGGCATTGCTTCGACGGCAGCCTTTGCCACCGTGCATCAACACGCTGGGCTTCAGGAGCGGCTTCTGATTGGAGTAGAGCTGGGTAAAAACATCCCTTCTGCCTTCCTCTGGGCTTCTCTCAGCTTTTACAGGCCCTTTTGTGCTGGTGGGCAGTGAAAACACGGCACATCTGTTTGCTTCTACGTCGCAAGCGGACCAGCTGCTATCACTGGGAGCTAAAAGCAGGGTTTGGCTGGCAGTCTTTCCCCCTCGAGTGCCTTTTTCCTTGCTGCCATCCAGGGCGATTGCCCTTTCAAAGTTGTAGGGCCACCTCCTGTCCCGTCCCGGTGGCTCAAGTCGTGTCTTCATGCAGCAAGGTCCTTACAAACAAGTCACGAAATTGCCGACCGGCACGTCCAGCCCCTGACGAACGAACGGGAACAAAACACCTTTTTAAAAGGCAACCAGCTACTCATTTTGACTCCTAGCGTAGGTTTTGTAGAAGCAAATGATTTCCAGGTGTTTTTTCCTTTTTTAAATCCTATCGGAAGCAAGGGGGATTGGCCTAGCCTTTTAAAACGGGCCTTTTCAGAGCCTGCAAACCAAAGAGCCCCCGTAATGCAGGGGGGGCCCTACAAGCGGCGAGCATCCTCCATCCCAGACCTCTCACCCACACCCATTGGCAGGCATCCTACATGGAGGTCTTGGGGTTCGGACGCCCAGGATGCTGCAGCAAAGACCTGGCTGGGCTTGAACTACATCCCCCACGTGACGAGGGGTGCATGCTGTGGAGCACTGCTACCTCCCAAATCTGGGCGTGGATAAAAACCCACACGGAGAATCCCAGCTCAGCTTCCCCCCTGCTGGCACCTGCCAGACCGTGGAGATGCCCTAAAACTTCTTTCCCAGCTTGTCGCCTTCGAGGGCAGATGGAGGACAATGCCCCCAGAAGGCCGAGACCTCCCGGAGGAAGGGCGCAGGGCGCTGGCATGGCACAAGCCAGGGGGCTTGCAGGTAGGACGACGCTGTTGTAGACCCAAATCCTGTCCGCCCCACGCTGACGCCCGGAGCTGTGATACAGGGCACGTCCCAGGCGCCATCAGCTCCTGCGGCAGGAGATGCCGCCAGCATCGGAAAGCACGAGCGGCGCGCAGCCGGCTTTAAAGATCAGCCTTGCCCGGCCACGGCATTCACGACACAGTGCCTCGGTTGTCAGCGAGCGGAGAATGGATGGGCTGCGAGGCCAGGGGAGGATTCGCCGAGGCGGTCCCCCCCTCGCTATCAACGGCCTGGCTCTTTGATCCATCTGTTTATCTACCTGCCTATCAATCCAGCTGCTGCCAATAGCAGCTGACAGGCTCATATTCCTCTGTGGTTTCACACTCCACTAAGCGAAATGAATCCCAGACTGATACGGCCGGAGCTGCATCGCTCCTGCCCCCGGCGAGCACGCCAAAGTTAACACGCCATCCCTCGGCCCGCCGGGTTTAACTTTCACAACAATGCGCCACTTATGCTGCCTCCAGCCACAACTGTAAAGCCTGTTTACTGCTGTTTAAATTTGCAAAGGCTCCTTGCCAAGATAAAATAACCCCGGCCAGAGCTAGTTACATTATCACAGTCGTGCTCATTCAGCCACATAAAGGAGGCATTTTTGAAGGGAAGGCTCGGCTGCGTGTCCCAACGTTTGCATCGCCGGGGCCCGAGTTAGCTGTTGCGTTATTGCCGCGTGCCAGCATCAATGACCCCCGAGCTTCCCGAGTCAAAGGTGCTGCTGCTACAACAGCAAAGCCGGTGGCACGTGGACTTGTCCCCATTAAAAGAAGGGGGAAACCCCGGCTTGCTCCATTGTCCGCACGAGAAAAATGCACACGGGTATGAAGCATGGAGATCCCCAGGGCTTCTGGAAACACGGTGACTGCACAGGACCGGGGATGGAGAGCCGGCCCCATTCGCAGCAGCTGGCTCTAGCTTAGAGATCTGGGTTTCATTTCCAGCTCAGCCCCTCTCTCTGACCCCAAACTGGTTGCCGAATTGCTGCCCACCTCACTCCCCACGTGCACAACAGCCAGTGCTCCTTGCTGTCTCTGCCTCACCCAGTTAAGCTGCTCTTGTTTTTGGGATGCCCGCTCCAACCTACTCGTGCAATCCTAGCATGATTGGAAATGCAGAATTCAGTGGCAACGC